AATTTAAAACCAAATTTTACTAAATTCTTTGCTATCTCTAATCTAGTTTGTTTTTTTTCACAGTCATGTGTATGAACATTTTACATGTTTTATTCACTTCCTTCTTACTGGATGAGTCAGTGAGACAAAAGTGCTTTCATTATTGTTTTTAAAAGGATTAATTGAGGTACAGAGAGACCAGCCTTTCTAGCTGACCCTGCTATGAGGAAAGATATTGAACTAAACAGTTTTGGGAGGTTCCTGCCCACTTGATTTATTTTTTTGTGATTCTTTGGTTATAAAGGAAGATCAGGTCCTGCATTTTTCTTTTCAGTCCTTATTTAGTGCCTCAGTTTAGGCCATTTTTGTAGTTCTGTAGCTATTCATTGGAAATAATCTGTAATGTTTGTTTGTTCAGAAGTTCGTAGAAAATACATGGCATTTCAGAAAAGAACTGTGTCCGTGATTTCTACAACGAATGGTGACAAAAATCAAACCAATAGAAACAAGATGCATTTGGATTATTTTAAACCTTAAATGTTATTTTTTATGAATGTCTTTTATATTAGCAAGATATGACAAGTGGAAATATTTTTGTTTCTTTTCTGCATATTTCTCGAAATTGAGAATTAATGTACTACTTTACCATGTTCCCCCTTAACTTAAGAGATGATAGTTCTTTTAGGAGATGCAATTTATTTATTAATTAATTGTAATCAATAGTTATATTCATCTAGAAAGTTCAGAAAATTCCCTAATTTGTGTTGGAATAAATGAAGCAAAACTTGTTTTTCTTTCCCAGGGTGCGAGAGTACAAAACACAGCCAAGAATTTAGGAGTGAGGGATCGAACACCACAGTCTGTGCCAAGGTAACTGATACTTTGTATTCTAGACCATGTTTTTTTTTAGTTTGTGCCACATTCAGTCCTACACTGCTCAAAAGCTAGCAGTAAACGTTGACTATATTGTGCTGTAACTGTAAAATTTGGCTTCGGGTACATAAAACCAATTGTGTTCTTAGCCCTGCAGTTTTACCTCAGGTAATTAGTTGCAGAAGTTCAGACCATGCAGCACTTCAAAACATGCCCATTTTTGAAAAATGAAATCTAGTTCATGTTAATTACGAAAACACTGGACTAAGTCCTTTATCACTTGTAATGCTTAGTGATTTTGGGGAAATACTCATAACTAAATCCATAACCCCATTTTAATGAAATACTGTAACACAGTATCTCAGCAAAATCATGTTCTAGTTATGTTTAGAGATGATGTAGTCTTTCTTTGTCTCTTTCTGAAACATCCATTAGAATGAAAAATGGGCTGTTCTGTATTTATCCAGCTTTTTAATGCTGTGATGGATTGCAGGTACCTGAAATGTTTCTTAACAGGCACAACACTTATAAATGAAAATAACCAAACATCTTAGTTATTAAGATCTTAATTTGATCTTAAAGTTTGGTTCTAGTAATCCAGTACTAATTTAAACTGGTTTTTATGAATTTAAAACATAATATTTTTTGTTGACTAGTGATAACACATTGAATGCTTAACAGAGTAACAGATCTGTGAAATACATAACAGACCCACTGTGGGGTTTAAATTTCAGTAAGGAAACAGGGAATTAGCTAAACCTGATAGAGGTAACCATGTGAATGAACACAAATGATATCCATAGCCTTCTGTGCTCTGAGCACTAATAATCAGGAGCTTGATTTTACTCAGTTTGCTCCCCTTTTCTCAGTTGTCCCTGTTTTTCTCAGTAGAGAATCAGGCTACTGCTCATAACTTGTTTGCAACAGATCACCACACATTGTTCCACGCCTGTGCTCACTCTGAGTCTAGAAAAGGAGTGTAGCTTAAGGTGTGAGTAAATCTGAGTAGCAGCTACTATTCAGTTGCTTACTGGCAGCATTTGTTGGAGCATATATGCATTTTGCATGCCCCATAAAGGCGATGAAGTATCATCCAACAAAAGTACTGATTCTAGAGTAAATCCATCAGCAATGTAGTCATCGCCCTTAGCAGCAGATGAGGACATCCCTTTTCACTGTAGTGATTAGTTTAGAGGCAGTGCAGGTCTAAAATTCCCTGACCGACTGTCTTGCATTGAGGGAACCTATGACAGTAAATTAACATTTTATTACATTAAAAGCTGTGAGAAGCCTTTTCATATTTTGAACAGTATGGTTTGGGCCTTAAATAGAGTCCTCCTTCCTGAAATAAATATGGGGACAACCAAAGAATTGTTGCAAACCAAACTTTACCCACCCCTACGTGACAGAGCTCTTGTGATAAAGGAAAAATCTAAGTTCCTGAAAAGAAAAACTTAGCAATGAGACATTTTTCGGCTTTGCATCAGCTGAGAAAAGATCACCTCTTTCCAGCTGAAACTCCCACAACATAACATTGAAAAGCTGAACAAAAATAATGAGATAGCTCCTAGAACATAGTATAGACAGATGCAGCCAGCACCCTTGCCAATCAGCAGCAACACCAATGTCACAGGAATATCCCAGACCTCAGTGTTTGGGGCATTTGGTGTACCAATAGATGCATAAGTCAGAATAGTCATCAGCAAGAGTGATACTTTTGATGTATAGCTAAATGACACCATGGATTCTTAGTTCTCTGCTTGGAAAACAGTTTTACATTTGGCTTCATTTGGCATCGCTTGACAGAGTTCTCTGTTCTCTGCAGCTGCCACTGTTTCCCTGTTTTCTCAGCTGATCTATTTGTACCATCTCAAATAGTAGTTCCATGTGTATTGGCCCAGAACAGGCTGTTTCTGTTCTGTAGCATCTTCAGCAACTTTAGATCCTTAGGGATTAATGCAACCTTAGTTTGCTTCAGAATCCCCCTACATCACTTGCTCTGAAGACAGTCTCAATGATTACCACTTTAACCTGAAGAATACACAGACTTGGAGCTGAGGTTTGCTGCACATTGGTCCATAGAAATTAGATTTTGCTAAAACATCAAGTATTAACCCCACTGCAATTATTTATATAAGATTCTGACTGAAATTTTATCTGCCTTCTACCAGATTTGAACATTACTGCTTTATTATACCAGGAAAATCAAATAACTCAACCCCTGTTTATTCTTCTCTGCATACTTTTCTGTATAAAAGTCAGACCACCTTATTCTCTCATTGGTATAAAAATATAATATATATGTGTATTGCCTTATATATGACTCCTAACAAATACTTTGGTGTCTGCACAATGTCTTAAATGATTGGGTTTCTGAACCTGCCATATGACCATGTGGAAGAACCCAGTGACCTTCAGAACACATTATGGTGAAGATTGGAAAGAAGGTTTCCACTTTCTGTTTTTCAGTTCTGACAGAACTGATTCTCCACATTCTTACCATCCAGAAACAATACTGCTTGATAATCGTTTCCAGGGAAGTTCAGGGAAGAGTTATTTAGCCCATGGACATTCTGTGATTTTAGTGTCCCGTGGGTTTTAACTCCTAGAGGAACTGAAATTGGAGAACAGCAGCTATCCTGCCCTGCTCTTGCATAGCCACAGGATGCTGTTTCTGACAAGATGTGCCTGGAGGTTACAGAGGCTCTGAACGCTCATGGAGGAAGCCTTACATACTCACCTCACATCATTTCAGTAGCAGAATCATAGACTCATAGAATCAGCTGGGTTGGAAAAGACCTCCAAGGTCATCAGGTCCAACCCTTGATCCAGCACAGCAGTGGTTACGACGTGGCACTCAGTGCCACACCCAGTTTCGTCTTAAAAACCTCCAGGGATGGTGAATCCACCACCTCCCTGAACAGCCCATTCCAATGTCTGATTATTCTCTCTGTAAAAAATTTCTTCTTAATATCCAACCTAAACCTCCTCTGGCACAGCTTAAGATCGTACCGTCTTGAGTATCATGCCAAGAGGTCACCAGCCCATTGATCTTGAATTGTTTGTGGTGTCCTAGCCACGTGTTCAGATTTTTCTTTTCTATGTTGATTTGTAGTATAATTCTGAAAATTTTGATGAGCTAAAATGGAGTCATATAAATGAGCACGATGTTTAGCAGGCCAGTTTGCAAAATATCCTTGTCATAGAATCATAGAATCATAGAATCATAGAATAGATTGGGTTGGAAAAGACCTCCAAGATCATCAAGTCCAACCCCTGATCCAACTCCAATTACTATATCATGGCACTAAGGGCCACATCCAATCTCTGCTTAAAAACCTCCAGGGATGGTGAATCCACCACCTCTCTGGGTAGGCTGTTCCAATG